GGGGTAGAGAAGAGAGAGTGACCAGGCTGTGACAATGGGCTTTATAGGGGTATGGAGCATGCACATAAGGAAATATTCAGCAGTGCCAATGTTGTCACTTTGGCCTCTAGGGGTGGCAGGGGCAGTAGGCACTGAGTCATTGACGGCAGAGAGCACCTTGATTCTGGAATGTGGGCAGTTCTTACTTGACTAACACTTTGGCCTCAGGATGTTTAGAGAAGCAGTTGGGTCTTCTCTATGTTTGGGACCAACTGGGTAAAGCCGCTGCCTTTCCTCAGGGTTGCCCGGCACTTGACTAAGGTAGTTCTCATCTTCTATGTCCAACACAACCCCGGTCCCTAAACCCAAATCCTGCACGTTAATCTATACACACTGTCTTCCTTTTTAAGGCCTAACTGTCTCAAATAAACTAGGAAGCTCTCTGATAAGCAGTGAAAGCTGATCTCACTAGAAAGTAGTATTATTTGGGGCATCAGGTTCCTCCAAAAAAAAAAAAAAAGTGTCATGGAAACTTTTCCTAATACAGATATTAAGTCTACCCCTGAGTTAGGGTACAAATTCACCTCCTGTATGGAATTCCCCCCATGTCCTCAGGCCGGGAACCTTCTCTCTAAAGAACTGTTTGAAGTCACACTGGCTTTTATAGTAAGATGTAGGGACAGGCGGCAGAAGCATGAGATGAGGGGCACGGACCAAAGCTGTTCCACTGTCTGCCTCCGGCCTGGCCATAATTCCAGTGCGCTGCCCTTTCACTTTGCTCAACTGTCTCACGTCATCTTCATTTTGGCATTCCTTTTTCACCCTGCAGAATAAACATACTCAGTTGACCTGCAGGGTAGCCGAAGGCACATTATATCTGAAGATTCTACTTCAGGTTGAAGCAGGGGAAAGCATTGGAGTAGAAATTGATTGCCAAAGGGCTTTCGGCATTTGCCATTTTCCTAAATCCGAACATTTCTCTTTCTCGGCTCCCGTTAACCTTTACTTAGAACCAAATAAATCATTCGATTCAAAATGTATGCTCTCCACTAAGGTCTGCTGGTAAGAACTCGCCTCCTCACCAGCGTCATTATTCAATGTGTAAGTGCGGCATCCTCTGCTAATCCTATCTGACCGACGGCCCCTCGCTGACCCCGTGTCCTCAGCGGGTTTATTGGGTAACATGGTTTGTGTTCACTCAGCTCACCTCTCTGTACCTCTCACAGGCATGTGACTCACGACCTGCTGTCAGCTTCTACTTGCTTTGTAGCAGGTCAAATAAACGGCTTAGATTATGGGTTTTGTTGTTCTGGCTGTCCCCTGCCTGCCCCCACACCTTTCCCATGTACTTAAGAAAAAACCTCCAGGGATTCCTATGTGGTGTTTAGATTCAGTCTTGGCATTCTCAAGGCCCTAACACATTAATCAGAATATCATGCGTTCTGGAGAACTGGGGTGGAGGAGGAAGATATTGAAAACGTGGCATTTGGTCAGGTGGTGATAGTGGCACACACCTTTGATCCCAGCATTTGGGAGGCAGAGGCAGGCGAATCTCTCTGAGTTGGAGGCCAGCCTGACCCATGGCTACACAGATAAACTCTGTCTGTGGACAAAAGGGAAAAAGGTATGGACTTTTTCAGTCTTCCTCTGAGTGGAGATAAAGTAAGTACACACAAAAGTGGCTTCCAGAGCAAAAGGAACTGGAGGGGCTGTAACTCAGGAAGACAGTAGATATTAGAGTTTGCTGGGCGCTTCTGGACAGTTTCCACTGTCTTGTGTCTTGAAACAAGGACTTGGACAGAGACACATGGGCAGGAGAAAGGATTGGTAGCTCCAACAACTGGCCATGTGCAATTGGGACTCTTATGGAATGCTTTTTAACTTACTTCCATACAGAGTGGCTTTCTGAGGCATAGTGTGTTACATGTTCTGCATACAACTTCAGCACTTTAGCTCCATGATGGGGTATGTGTTTCAGTGTTACAATGAGCTTAGGAAACCTCAGAGTGTCCCAGTGTATGTGCCTGGGCCAGGGATTATTTGCACGGGGTAGTGGATTTTTACCCTTCTCCTTTGCCCATTGGTTTCTTTCATACTCGAATTCTACAGCCTTTGCCCAAGGTGTTCCAGACCTTGCTCTCTGTTCTATCTGGCCTCATGTGAGTGCTGCTCTGAGGGATGGAGACACTTTCTGCCCCGATTCAGCTCACAACTCAGGTGGCAAACTCTTGCCTTTAGAGTCCCCCAATTCTGAAAGCGACAGGACAGGTTCAGAAGCCTCAGATTTGAGCAAGTGGAGTGGGCCCCTACTGGAGATGTAATCATGTCTTCTTACCTAGTGCTGGAGAGAAGGTAGGATCTGTCGCTCACCTGTTATGCATCTTCAGAGGGGTGACTGGACGCTCAACACTCTCCTCTGAGGGAGAAGGTGATGAAATGGGTGAGGGATGGCCCAGAGTTGGGCCACGTGTGACAGAAGCTGGCTCTGGCAGCTGGTGGATACTAGAGAACAGGCAGGCAAGGAGAAAGTTAAGGACTACGCTCATTGATACACATCTTGGGGACACAGCACCTGGCCTATTCCCCCAGAGAGGAGAAGATTGCACTGAACAGACAGGCCATAATAAGGGCAGCTCTTTGCACTTTACAGTTTGTTTTCCCCTCCCTGTGGAGGGAAAAGTCAAAGTTGAGAACCCGTTTTTAACCTTAAAGGAACCTGGGATGGTGCTTTACTTTCTTTGTTGTCAACTTGGTCCTAGACAGAGTCTGAATTCTGAGACTTTAGTCAAGAATGTGGGAGTAAAGTGCTCAGATCCTTGACCAATCTCACTGTCGTCTCAGAGCTGTGTCTTTCTTTGGAGGTTCTCAGTTCAGAACTAGCTCTGCCTGTTTGTGTGCTTGCCCTGGGACAGCTGAGACCTTTGGGACATTGGTGAGATTTGGTGTTTGTTCACGTCTAAGAACTTCTTACCCGGTAGGTGCTACGACATTTAACAGCAGTGCACAGTACCACCAAATCTATCCCTTGACATTTGAGCAAGCTAAGTAGCAAATGCTTCAGCATCAGGACACAAACAATCTTGGAGGAGCCCTAAGCAAAACTGAAGCCAAAGGTCACTCTCTCAGCATGGCCCCCAACCACTCTGGCAGCATCTGCCTGCCCTCTTATGACTGACTGCCAGTCCTCATTCTTGTTACCATGTATCTGGCCTTGCCAGGCATGCAGCCAGCCATGCCAGGCAGCCAATGAGCTTCGTATTCCCTGAGTAGTGTTATCAGCTCTGTTGTCCTCCTCACCTCAAATGCAAGAGGAAAGAACTGCGTTGTTTCAGAACCAGGGGAGGGACTGTGTCACATGAGATGAATGTCCCTCTTGGCTTCTCCTTCCCTGTTGTCCAATTTGCACTTTTGAAGCATAAACCAATACTTCCTCCCATCTGAGATGCAAAGTGATTGTTTTTAATGTGATGGCTCCCTAAATAGACTCTATGCACTCTGCCTTTGCTTCTACAGTTATTCACATTCTAAATGAGTCTCAAAAGTAAAATGAAACCCATAGAGAGGGAACGGTGAAGTGGGGCTATCATTAAAGTAGGGCAGTGGTTCTCAACCTGTGTGTCATGACCCCTTGGAGGGTCACGTATCAGATATCCTGCATATTAGATATTTACATCATGGTTCAAAATAGTAGTAAAATTACAGTTATGAAGTAGTAACAAAATAATTGTATGGTTGAGGGGGTCACCACAATGTGAGGAACTGTATTAAAGGGTCGCAGCATTAGGAAGGTTGAAAACCCCTGAAATGGGAGCTATCAAGTACACCTCAGGACATTCTAGAGTAGCATCTCTAGTAAGCCTAGCATAAGCCACAACACACCCTCGGCACATGACAAATTTCATTATTAGCTGCTTAAAATCAAGCTCATAAAGAAGAGCATAAGCATGGTCCTTGGTTAGAGTATCAGTCTCTGCAGGGCCCCCAGAGCCCAGTTGTTTTGGTTCTGTTGGTCTCCTTTTGGAGCTCCTGTCCCCTCCAGGTCTTTCTGTCTTCCCCTTCTTTCAAAAAATTCCATTCATTCTGCCCAAAGTTTGGCTATGAGTCTCAGCCTCTGCTTTGATACCTCAATCAGTAGTCTTTCAGAGACCATCTGTGTTAGGCTCCTGTCCTGTTCCCTGTCTTCTTCTGCTTCTGATGTCTATCGCGTGTGCCCTTCTGAATTAGGATTGAGCATCTGCCCTAGGGTCCTCGTTGTTGAGCTTCTACTTTTCAGGTTCCCACCATTTCTCTGAAAATTTTATGATTTCCTTGCTTTTAATAACTAAGTAGTATCCCATTGTATAAATATACCACAATTTCTGCATAGAGAGGACCTAAAACCCCAGCTCAGATGTAGCCCATACACTCAGTCTCCAAGTGGGCTGCCTAGTAAGGGGGCCAGGGGCTGTCTCTGGTATGAACTCAGTGACAGACTGATCACCACCCCCTGGGAGGTGGAGCCTTGCCAGTCCACAGAGGAAGACAATGCAGTCAGTTCTGATGAGACCTGATAGGCTAGGGTCAGATAGAAGGGGAGGAGGACCTCCCCTATTAGTGTACAAGGGGAGGGGCATGGGAGGAGAAGAGGGAAGAAAGGTGGAATTGGGCAGAGATGAAGGAGGGGGCCACAGCCGGGATACAAAGTGAATAAATTGTAATAAATAATAATAATTAAGAAAAAGTTTTTTAAAAAAAAAGAGCACAAGCAAGCAGCTGTGGTTAACTTTAGTCTGTCCTGTTGCCATAGCATCCATGCCTATCTGAAAAATTTGAAATACCCACTGTTCATGGGTCAGAGTTTTATTTTAGCCTTCATACAAATTTATGTTTGTACTTGAAGAAAAGACTTTTAGAAAGCCCACTTTCTTGTGGAACTCTGTTTGGCTTCATCTTAGCAGTGTTACTGAATTACTCATCCATGTTGTATTCCACTAAAAGCCTCCGTGATGTTTTGTCCTGTTTGTCTTTGATCATACTTTTAGTGCAAACATACTCTTGGATGACCAGTTCCAACCCAAATTAACTGATTTTGCCATGGCGCACTTCCGACCCCACCTAGAACATCAGAGCTCTACCATAAATATGACTGGCAGTGGCAGGAAACATCTGTGGTACATGCCAGAAGAATACATCAGACAGGGAAGACTTTCTGTCAAAACCGATGTCTACAGCTTCGGAATTGTGAGTGTTACCAACTGGTTAGAAACAGAAGAGAATTCACTGCCAAAAGGGTTCTAAATCTTTAGAGCATCATTTCTCAACCTTTCACAGGGGTCGCCTAAGACCATCTGCATATCAGAAATTTACATTATGACTCATAACAGTAGCAAAATTATAGTTGTGAAGTAGCAACAAAAAGTGATTTTATGGATGGGGGTCACCACAACATGAAAAATTGTATTAAAGGGCGGCAGCATTAGGAATATTGAGAACCACTGGCTTAGAAGAAAAATTTTAAGAGTTTTAACTTGTATACCTATTGATTTTTTTTCTTATTCATTATCTGATACATTAATTTTGCAAAGTCCACAAGGCAATAAAATACAAGAGCATTATTTAAAATCCAATCCATTGTAATGTTAAATAGTTTAAACTAATATCGTATTCATTCTCAACCTCTGTAGCTGGCTTTGTGTATGTTCCTTGTAGGTGATCATGGAGGTTCTGACAGGGTGCAAAGTGGTGTTGGATGATCCCAAACACGTTCAACTGGTAAGAATTGTTCTCATGCTAGTACCCGTTTGTCAATTCGTTGTCTGACGGAGCTCCAAGAAATAACTTTACCCTCTCTTCTTTCTAGCGGAACCTCCTCATGGAACTGATGGAGAAGAGAGGCCTTGATTCATGCCTCTCATTTCTAGACAGGAAACTACACCCTTGCCCTCGAAACTTCTCTGCCAAGCTCTTTTCTCTGGCAGGCCAGTGTGTGGCAACTCGGGCCAAGTTAAGACCTACAATGGATGAAGTAAGATATTTGTAGTTTTATTTCAGGATGAGCCACGGAAAATCCTAGTTGGATAAATTGTGCATCCAAGTGAATTCTTAACGAGTGAAACAAATTCAGCCTCCCACAGAGAGTTCTAGCCTAATGCATAACCTTTCTAGCTTAAAGCAAACAAACACCTTACACTCTTGCTACCCTTGTAGAAGGCATTGCTAGGTAGAACCAGATTATTATAAAATATAAGCAAAGTAGCTTAGTAGATAAAGGCATGATTGTAATGCAATCCTGGTGACCAGAGTTTAATCTCTGGAACTCATGGAAAGAACAAGTTGCCCTCTGACCTTCACACAAACTCCTCAGCACACTCCTCACCACCACTAATACAGTTTAGAAAACTGAATCTAATGAAAAGCTGGAAGGGGATATTTTATTCAACAGTCATTAAGCTATTTGACACATTAGCAAGCACACATCTGTTTCCATTGTTTTAAAATCTATTCATTTGTCATAGACGCAATCCATTTGTTTATAAACAAACACTAAGTTAATGCCCATTCCTATGTGTATTTGGGTGCTGGGGATACATAGCAGTCAAGATCTAGTGACTGTCCTCAAGCTTGCAGTGCAAAGAAGTCAGATCAATAGACATAATGTTTTGGTCCAGTAGACAGGCAAGATGGCATTCCAAATCCCAAGATGACTGGGAAGGGTAGAGTGAGAACAGAGTCAGCTTGCCAGTCTGTGGCAACCAGAGGATCCTTGCTGAAGGTAACAGCTTAGCTGTGATTTGGAGAACAGGTTAGATGTAGGCAACAGTAAAGATGAAAGGATACCCTCAAAAGAGGTGAGGAACGACTCAGAGGTCGTCACCCTTAGAATAAGACTTTGGACGGTCCAGCATCATGAGGTGAGATGAGGTAGACAGAGCTGGATGTTAAGACTACAGAGGCTTCTAGGTGACAGAGAGGAAGTCATTCTATTCTTGGAGTTGGGTTTTATTCCGAGTCTACTGTAGAGCTGTGGGGGAGTTCTAAACAAGGAATTGGTATAATCATAGTGAATGAACACTGGCCTTGGGAGTCAGCAAGAGGCCTGGCATGGCTCTCAGTGTGAAATCCTGTCCCATCAGGTGTTGCAGAAGCCAAAGTTGGCATCCAGGAGGTTGATGGTACAGCACCAGTGCTTTGTTTTTCTAGACAGTTGTATGATTTTTTCCTCTGGATCCACAGCTGTATCTTTAGAATCATAATTATGCTATTTGTGGAGATCAAAATGCTCCATAATTCCTCAAGCTATCTGTATTTTTAGAGAGTAAGAAAGGAAAGAATATACTAGGTCATCAGTTTTCTAATCTGGCTACATGTCCAATTCTCCAATTCTTTGTGTGAAGTTTTTGGTGTTTTTTTTTTTTTTTTTTTTTTTGAGGTTTCTCTGTATAGCCTTGGCTGTCCTGGACTCACTCTGTAGGCCAGGCTGACCTTGAACTCACAGTGATCTGCCCACTTCTACCTCTTGAGTGCTGGGATTACAGGCATGCATCACCATGCCTGGCTTAAGCTGCTTGAATATCTTTCTTTCCTTCTTTCTTTCTTTCTTTCTTTCTTTCTTTCTTTCTTTCTTTCTTTC